AGGGTTTTAGTCATGCGAAAAGAGTTGAGGGATATAATAGTCATTTACGGTAAAAGGGTATAAGAAAGAAAGAAACCCCATTTATCTCTCTGGATAAGCTTCAAGCTTCTTTCTTCTCACTCCCTCTCAATTCCACAATTGGATAGGCGGAAAGGCTCCTCGCGAAGGTATTCATTTTCTCTCTACTTCCTTGTTCAAGCTCCAATCATGTGAATTTAATTAAAAAAAATTGTCTTTCTTCTTGCTGGGTTGCAGTGGCGTCAATGGAGGTCACAAATACCAGCAGCAGTAGCATCATGTGGTTCTTCAGGGACAAAGGTTTTGATGATGCGAGCATCGACAAGATGTTGAGCAAGTGCAAGCAGTTGGAGAAGGCGCAAAGCGATGTGGCATCTGAAAACTGGGACTACCTCAGAGACATTGTTGGTATCCAAGAGAGGAAACTCCCTTACATCGTCTCGAGATGCCCCAAAATCCTCACTTTACATCTCGATGAGAGGCTCATCCCCATGGTCGAGTGCCTCTCCACGCTTGGAAGGAAGCCTCGGGAAGTTGCTTCCGCCATCACCAAATTCCCTCCCATACTCTCTCATAGCGTCGAGGAGAAACTCTGTCCCCTGCTTGCCTTCTTTCAAGCATTGGGTGTGCCTGAGACTCAGCTCGGCAAAATGATACTTTTTAACCCAAGGCTTATCAGCTACAGCATCGACACCAAGCTCACAGTGATCGTCAGCTTTCTTGCAAGTCTTGGCCTTGAACAAGATGGGATGATTGGGAAAGTTCTGGTGAAGCACCCATTTCTTATGGGATACAGTGTTGACAAAAGGTTGCGCCCAACCACTGAATTCTTGAAATCATCAGTTGGTCTGGGAGAGGATGGCATTCAGTCAGTGGTCATGAATTTCCCACAAGTTGTGTGCAGGGACGTTAACAAGATTCTCAAACCAAATTATGATTATCTGAGGAAGTGTGGGTTTGGAGATGCACAGATAGCAACCATGGTGACTGGTTATCCCCCGATCTTGATAAAGAGTATTAAGAATTCACTAGAGCCTAGGATCAGATTCCTAGTGCAGGTGATGGGAAGAGGCATGGATGAAGTGGCTACTTATCCTGAATTCTTTCAGCATGGATTGAAGAAGAAGGTTGAATCACGGTATAAACTTGTCAAAAAGAACAACATTGACTGCAGCCTCAGAGAAATGCTGGACTGTAACACAAAGAAATTTCATGAGAAGTTTGGCTTTTCAGAAGTAACTTCCTCCTGTGCAAGCTTCTAGTATTAGGTCGCTCTAGTTTTCCTTCATCAG